AGGAAGAAGAAGAGAGACAGAGAGAGAGAGAGAGAGAGAGAGAGAGAGAGAGAGAGAGAGAGAGAGAGAGAGAGAGAGAGAGAGAGGAGAAGCCAACGGTCAGTCTGACCTTGTCGCGAGAGGGAGAGAAAGCAGGCAAAACAAGGACGATACTGATGATGACAGGATTATTATCCGTACGCGAAAATACGTTTGTGATACGAGTAATTCACCAGTAATTCATTTTGGCTCAAGCTACCGCCGTCTTTCTAGAAAAAGTGAAGGGAGTGGAATTGGGGACCGTCTCTGCACTTGACGAACATTCTGCAGTTACAGACATTAACGGACAGAATCACTAACGGACAGAATCACTACGGAGTGGCCGGAGTGAGCGAGAGAGGGAGAGTGGGAGAGGGAGACGAAGCTTTCTTAGCCAAGTGAATGCCGTTGCGTTCGCGGGTTCCCTAACGGTGAGCGCTAACTAACTAGTCCATCAGGAGTATTCCCTCTTCACACCCGTTCCCCGCTCCCAACCTGTCCATTTATCAATTGACCGACCCGTCTCCTCAAAAATTGTTATGTAGGGAATGGATCAGTTTGCTTCCGTTCGCTTCTGTCACTTGCTCCCCCCCCCTTAGTCTCCTCTCTCCCCACCCCGTTTACTACGGGGTCAACGATACGGTTTACACCCGCTCCTTTCCCTTCCTCGTTCCCCTGTCTACCTTATCCAATCTTATCCATCCTCGTTCCCCGGACTATCTTGTCCAATCTAATCCCATCATTACGTCCTCTGTACTTCAATCAGGTGTACCTTATCCAATCTTATCCATCCTCGTTCCCTTGGTGTGCCTTATCTAATCTTATCCAAACATTACCTCCTCTGCGCTTCAGTCCTCAATGCTCCTCATCCAATCCATAATTATTACTGGTATTATTATTATCATTATTATTATTTTTATTATTTTTACTCTTACTTAACACCTGTAATCACTGTCCGATCCGCGTTCCTGTTTGTGATCCTTAAATGCACTTTCTGCGTTTCTGCACTGTGATGACTTTTCTCTTTCTCTTCAGTCCATTATCTGCATATCTGACGTAAAACAGACAAGACGTTTTTCTGCCCGTCGAAGGCCGCAGTTGCCTTCGTTCGCATTTGTTTATTGGAACGAGGACATACTTACACTACCGGTAGGACATTTTCTACTGAGCTCTGGACGTGATTGCGGCGGTGAGATGGTTTGGCCGTAATTGAAGTGAGATATATTTAGGAAAGTACGAGTGTGAGTATGCCCGGAGATCCTAATACTCGATAGTTTTTCTAAGGGGGGAAAGTGAAATTGGTGCCTCTGTGCCGTGGACACGTCGTCGCACAGATTACCAGACTGCCCCTCTCCGTTTTTCTCCCTCTCCCTCCTTGGACGGAAAAGGTAGTACGATTCCCAGACCAACCCCCCTGAAGTATTTTTTTCTTTCCTCAGTCCGATAAAGTTCGACACTTTTCCCACAGGGTGCCTCTATCTAATGGGCACGACATCATCCAACGTATCAGACTAACCCTCTGGACTTTCCGTCCCTTACTCTCTCTCTCTCTCCAATTCTCGTCTCTCTCTCTCTCTGTCCATGTTCCCTCTCGCTCTACGGAAGGTAATGTCTCTCCCCCTCTCCATGTTCCCGCCCTTATGGTAGTCTCTCTCTCCATTTCCCCTCTCCCTCTTCATGTTCCCTCCCTCTACGTAAGGTACTCTCTCTCTCTCTCTCCATTTTCCCTCTCTCTTTCTGCATTTCCCCTCTCTCCGTCTCCATGTTCCCTCTTGCTACCAAAGGTAATACAGCATTATGATTCGCCCTCCTCCCTTTTTCCTTTCCTTGCCCGTTTGGTCCCTTTCCATATTTCCACATTTATACACCAATCGACGCCCTTTTATCCGGTGTCACGGATAAGGCCGATGGCTTTGCTGACTCCGCCTCGTGGGGATATATGGGTGGACATGTATAACTATATTTCGTGATTTAGGAAATAGTAAGTAAATTGGAAGACGAATCATGATGCAACTCAATTCTGACGAGTGTGTTTGTATGTACAAGCAGTAGTAGTAGTAGTAGTAGTAGTAGTAGTAGTAGTAGCAGTAGTAGCAGTAGTAGTAGCAGCAGTAGTAGCAGTAGTAATAGTACTTGGTTGTTGTAACAGTAGTAGTAGTTGTTGTAATAGGAGGAGGAAGAGGGATCTCGACTGCGTAGGAGAGGAGGGGGGTTGGTGAAGATTTGTTGCTTATATGGAGTCTTTAATATTTTATGCTTATATGGGGGTCTTGAAAATTTGATGCTTATATATGGGTGTGTCCTGAGTAGGTAGAGGGAGTAGGAGGATGGGGGGTGCGGAAGATTTGTTGCTTATATGGGGGTCTTGAAGATCTGCTGCTTACATGGGGGTCGTGGAGTAGGTAGAGGGAGTAGGAGTAGGAGGAGGACGATGGATCTCGACTGCGTAGGAGAGCGGGGGGAGGTGGGGTGGGTTGCCGAAGATTTGTTGCTTATATGGTGGTCTTGAAGATTTGCTGCTTGTATGGAGGTGTCCTTGAAGTAGGTAGAGGGATTGCGAAAGTGCTCTATCATTATCATCATCAGTGTAGAAAAGCAGGAGGACTCGCTGCTGTTCTTAGCATGACGATCTTGACACCTCGTTCACGAATGATGTGTAGTAACCAGAGTTGTTAGAGCGGTCTGTTGCTTCGCATTGCTTTTTTGTGTGATTGCCTTGCCGATCTATCTACTTTGCCTTTCCTTTCGTATGTTCTTTCGAGTTCATTAACGCCTCTTCGAGAAAGTCCTAGTGTGGATATGATGTCATCAGTTGTTGGGCTTGATTGCCTCTTCAACCCTCTGTCCTTCTGCTCTTTGGCAGTCGCACAATTACAGTGTTCTTTATGTTGTCGATCGAAGGCGGGGAATGCCACGTGCCAGCAGTTCATGCTCTGCCGGGGCGATTCAAAATTAAACCGCTTCCTCCTCTTACAAACCCCGCAGCGCTTTACAAAAGCCACCCTGGTTAACAGGAGGCCGAGCTTGGTGAGCAGGCGGCCAACCCTGGTTAGGGGG